CAACTCCCAGAATTCCCCAGCCAGCATTCGCTGGCTGGGGAATTCTGGGAGTTGAAGTCCGGACATCTTCACGTTGCCAAGGTTGAGAAACACTGTGCTAGTTATTGTGGGGTCACTCAGCCTATAGCTCTTCAGGTGAAGGATCTTTCCTGAGCACAGAGAGCAAATGCAGAGAAATACTATCCACGCTATGCTTGATGGATATCAATTGGCATACGGTAGCTCTAAAATAAAGGATCAGAAACCCAACAATGAATCCAGCAAATACAGCTTATTGGAGCAAGGATCAAATCCAGAACTCAGGTTTTCCTTTAATTCAGAGGGGAGCCGAGTTCAACGTTCAGTTTTGTTGAGTACAATCATCATTGGAAGTGTGATCCACACTGAACTTACTGAAATGCACTGCATCTTCCTTCCCCACCCTTGACTTATGACCACAATTGAGCCCAACACTTCTGTATTAAGCAAGGCAGTTGTTAAGTGAGTTTTGCCCCATTGTACATGTGTCAACTCCCAATGTCATAGTGAGAGAAGGAGGGGCAGTGCATTCCACGCATACTGTTGGCTGAAGTCGGATCTCAGATTACTGCAGCAGGTTTGGGAGGGGTGCATCTCATTGGGGGAATGTGATTTATGACACAGACTGAGGGGAGGGAAGGAACAGGGATAAAGTTCAGCTATAACTCAAACAAAGCTTAGACCTGACTGTCTGTAAGGTTTCCTAAAAATGCCCTAATTGATTCATGAGTATTAAGTCAAGTTTCAATACAAAACTCGTCATTTATTAGGAGCATCATCATAGGCAAGATCTTTTCGCAGCCAGGTCTAAGCTTTGTTTGAGTTATAGATGAAGTTTTACCCTGTTCCTTCCCTCCCCTCAGTCTGTGTCATAAATCACATTCCTCCAAGGAGATGCACCCCTCCCAAGCCTGTTGCGGTAATCTGAGATCCGACTTCAGCCGACAGTATGCGTGGATTGCACTCCCCCTCCTTCTCTCACTATGACAACGTTGGGAGTTGACAACATCCTTTCTTGCCACAGTTGTTAAATGAATCACTGCAATTGTTAAGTTAATATCATGGCTGTGAAGTGAATCTGGCTTCCCATCAGCTTTGCTTGTCAGAAGGTCACAAAAGGGGATCACATAACCCGGGACACTGCAACCATCATAAATATGAATCATTTGCCAAGCATCTGAATTTTGATCACGGGGATGCTGCAATGGTCGTAAATGTGGGAAATGGTCACAAGTCACTTTTTTCAGTGCCATTGTAACTTTGGACAGTCACTAAATGAACTGTTGTAAGTCAAGGACTACGTGTAAGTTATTGGGTTCAGCTTTGCAATGAGTTCTCAATGCACTGAGATGTATCTTCATAAGAAAGAGTTTTCTGAGCATGTATGAAAAGTCTTCATCTGAATCACTGATTAATCACAATCAGAAGTGGTATTCAGCAGGTTCTGACCAGTTCTGGAGAACCGGTAGCAGAAATTTTGAGTAGTCTGGAGAACCGGTAAATACCACCTCTGGCTGGCCCCGCCCCCATCTATTCTCTGCCTCCCGAGTCCCAGCTGATCGGGAGGGCATGGGGATTTTGCAGTATNACTCTTCAAGGGCTGCCCCGTGTAGATCTTAATCTCACCTTCATTTTTTTTTTCCTCATATTGATACCATACAGGTGAATCGCCCCTTGGCAATGCGCAAGGATGGGATTCAAACAAGGAACCGTAAGGTCTCTTCCGCCAAATCCAAAAAGCGCAAAGGAAATTCTGGGGAAACCGCAATCCCCGCAAACACATCCTTGGAGATGATGCCCTCTTCCTTGATGGGGGAAGAAGCTGCTGCCCTTTATCCTCTCAGCCCCATGATGCTACCAGGACATTTGCTCCCCTTTGGAGCCAATCCTCATTTTCTAGGATCTCCGACAAGTTTTCCTCCACAGGCTTCCCCCGTCCCACATGGTTCCCCAGGTGTGGTCTCCGCTCTGGTGTAAACAGCCTTGTAGCCTGTGCACGCACACACACACTTTTTACGCACACAGAGACTTTGGGAACGCGAGGAGGGAGAAGAGTCTCCTAAACAAGGATAGCCTTTCGGCATAACTCCATTAACAGTTTGGGCCACTTGAAAATGGTTCCTGTGGGTGAGAACTGAGATCCCCCCAGGTTATCAGAGCAGACAGAAAGTAACAGTGGGGAAATTCATATAAATAATGGAAGAGCTGGTGATTAAGGGGCAAAACTGTTTTCTGGGAAGGCAAGGGATCCTTTTGAAGGACCAGGACGGATTGTGGAAAGCTCTCCCACTCCTTCCCGGGGGGGGGGGGGGGGAAACAATTGCTGACTATAGAAAAAAATCATGGGGGAAAAATTAGGCTCACATTCTGGTTCCCAGGATCAATACTTTTATGTGTGAAAGTTGAATTGTTTGTTGCTTTCTTAACTCAGGAAGTCCTCAAAGTTTTGCCATTTTATTATACCCCTTCATCAACTGTTCATGCCAATTCGAATGCAGACTGAAATAAGGTAACAATGCTCTAATAATCCAACTTGCTACCCCACTCAGGGGTGGGATCCTACCGGTTTAACAACCGATTCGCTGAGCATACGCAGTTCAGAGAATGCTTACCCTTCCGGGTAGCTGGTTGGGAAGGAAAACAGCTGAGGCGCGGCAATCCACTCTGCCACGCGACTCAGCTGAGAAGATAAAGGTAGGTAAAGCACAGGGGCGGGCAGGTGGGCCCACCTGAACCAGTCTGAACTGGTAGAACCCCACCCCTGATCCCAGCCCTCCAAATCTGTAAATAAATCAGCTCCGTGACTATTTCCTTTCCTATCCACTCTGCACGATATGCATTGTAACCCCGATGAGTATTTCTGACCCCAGAAACAATCTGTACCTGCTTCTCCTTACAATGCTCCTTACAAATGCTTAGGCATTTCTTGGCACATGACATTTGTGAAAGCACTGTGGATGTGGGTGGCTGTTTCACCTTGACTGCATGGCTATAGATCTATCCCAAGAATTTCTCCATCATCAGCTCCACTATTGTCACCACTTGGCTTATGGAATTGGTCCATCATATCAGCAGGAAGCATCATTTTGAACATCACCATTTACTTCACATTTGGGAGGCTGACAGATATAGAACTCCAGCGTGAAAATTAGGGTCTTACTGACTCCAGTTAACCACCCGATGGAGAACTGATCCTGCCCTTTTCATTTAGACATTCACTTTGGTTATATTTTAACTTCCCTATATGATCAAGCCTCTGGTATTTTCCATACGTGACAAATCTTGGACATTGCAGAATGACCATTTTGAAGGAACCCAAAGATTAAAGCTTATTTGTCCTCACAATTTTTATTCCAAGGACTCGCTTGTCAAATACACATTTTGTGCACCAGCAGTGTGTTTTGGGAGTTTGGTTCCTTCTCTATTTGAAATAGGGCTCCACTTTAAAACTGCTTACCCCAGCAATAGTTCTAAACCAAGAAATGGATCGGTGATCTTTTTGTGGCTCTTTTTAAAAGGTCCAATGGTATGCTTTGAATCTATGAAGAAGGAAACATTTCTTAACTGTTTAAACATAACTAAACTAATCTGAATAATAGCTCTTTCTTTTTAGCCCATTTCTTTGTGAACAGAAAATTCACTTAGATAAAGTAGACCAAAGTTTACTCAGGATTATTTGCAAGAATCTTAACTCCCAACAGTTAGCTGGCAACTAATTCTCTCAAATTCTCTTATAGATTCCTTCCTTCCTTCCTTCCTTCCTTCCTTCCTTCCTTCCTTCCTTCCTTCCTTCCTTC